GGGGCTGGAGAGATGGCTCAACAGTTAAGAGCACTGGCTGCTCTTCCAGAGGTCCTGAGTTCAATTCCTAGCAACCACAGGGTGGCTCACAACCATCTATTATAGAATCTGAGTCCCTCTTCTGGTGTGCATATACATAAAATAAATAAACTTAAAACCACCACCACCGGGCTGGAGAGATGGCTCAGTGGTTAAGAGCACTGACTGCTCTTCCAGAGGTCCTGAGTTCAAATCCCAGCAACCACATGGTGGCTCACAACCATCTGTAATGAGATCGGATGCCCTCTTCTGGTGTGTCTGAAGACAGCTACAGTGTACTCATAAGTAAAATAAATAAATCTTAAAAAAAAAAAAAAAAAAAAAAAAAAAAAAAAAAAAAAAACCACCACCACCAAAACATTTAAATAGGGCCTAGAGAGATGGCTCCACAGTTGGCAGCACTGAATGTTCTTCCAGAGGACCCAGGTTCAGTTCTCAGCACCCACATGGTAGCTTATGACTGTCTGCAACTCCAGTTCCAGGGAACCCAATACCTTCACACAGACAGACATACATGCAGGCAAAACACCAATGTGCATAAAATGAAAAGTTAATTAATTCTTTAAAATTTAAATAAGCTAGGTGTGGTGGTACACACTTGTAGTCCCAGAACTCATGAGGCAGAGGCAGGTGGATCTGTGAGTTAAAGGCCAGCCTGGTCTACAGATCGAGTTCCAGGACAGCCAGGGCTACATAGAGAAAAAACTAAAATAAACAAACATAAAATAATAACTCTTTAAAAATTAGTAATGGATTATTTGACTTCTAAAGCCATAATTTTCCCTAGTCTTTCATTTTTATTCATTTTCTGTGTGTTTTTTATGAATCATCTATATACACCTATGTACACCTATGCACACCTATGTACACCTATGCAGTATCTGTGGAGGCCAGAAAAGGACATCAGATCCCCTGGAACTGGAGTTACAGAAGATTGTAGCTGTCACATGGGTGCTGGGATTTGAACCCAGGCCCTCCGAAGAGCAACAACAGCTGAGCCAAGTCTCTAGCCCCCCTAATCCCTCACTTAAAAAAAAATTTACATTTACTTATGTATGTGTGTGTGAATGAGCATACATGTGCATGTCAGAGGACAACTTTCAGAAGTCAGTTCTTCCATCATGGGAGTTCTGGGGATTGGACTCAGGTCATTAGATTCGGCAGAAAGTTTTCTTTTCCTCTGACCACATCACTGACCCTAATTCTTCATTTTACATTTGGGTAAAACCAGGCCAGGAGAGCAACACTGACTGTTCTGGGTCTCCTGATTCTCATGTCAAGTCATTATAGTGGTCTCTATGGTGATTTCTTCATTCCTTCAACAAATATTTATTAAGAGCCTACTATGTGCCAGTCACCAGGACTACTACTGAAGAGAACTGATCAACCAGATCTGGTTCTCTTACACTTTTGGTGTGAGCCTAGCCTTTAACAGCTGAGCCAACTCTCCAGCCCCAAGATCTGCTTCTCAAGAGGTAGAAGCACAGAAAGGATTAAGGCATTAGGCAAATAACAATAGGACTAACTGGAGACTAATATAAAGTGCTGGAAAGAAGGGGGGCCAGCTGCTGTGAGAGTAACGGACAAAAAGATTAGGTTGTACCTCAATAGAACACCTGCCTAGCAAAGTCCTAAGTTCATATCCAGCATGGGGGTTGAGGTAACAGGCAAAAACCTCTCTGAGGGGGCCAACTAAACTGAGTTGGGTTCTTATTAAAATACACGTCAGTGTATATGGATGTATGTGTGCTCACGGGTGTAGATGTCTGCAGAGGCTACCGACTACAGATGCTCCAAACTCAGAGCCTCGGAAGAGTACTGTAAGCCTTCTTAGCCACAAAGCCATCTCTCCATCCCTCAACCCGTTTATATTTTTTAAATAGAGTCTCTGTGCTGGGTAGTTTTTTTGTCAAACACACACACACACACACACACACACACACACACACAAAATAATAGGAAGAGCAGAAGGAAGAGGAAGAACAGGAGGAGGAGAAGGAGGAAGAAGAGGAGGAAGAAGAGGAGGAAGAAGAGGAAGAGGAGGAGGTGGAGGAAGCAGCAGCAGGTGATGGTGATGATGATTATGATCTGAGGTTGGAGAGATGACCCAGTCTGTAAAGTAACTGTCCTATAAGCAAGAGAATCTCAATTTGGATCCTAAGCATTCAGGTAAAAAGCCTGGATCCCAAAAGCAGGGCATGGAGCACACACCTTTAACATTTGGGAGGCAGAGGCAGATTTATCGAGAGGGGGGGTGGGGGGAGGCTAACTTTTGGCGCTTTACGGTATTTCTACATCCACTCTGACTTCAGCCAAATCTTCAGGTAGCTTTTTGAGCAGGATGACCACAACTTTACTAAAGGATAAAGTCACAGCCGGGCAGTGGTGGCTCACGCCTTTAATCCCAGCACTTGGGAGGCAGAGGCAGGTGGATTTCTGAGTTCGAGGCCAGCCTGGTCTACAGAGTGAGTTCTAGGACAGCCTGGGCTATACAAAGAAACCCTGTCTCGAAAAACAAAAAAGAATAGAGTCGCCCTGATTTTCTGCCCATTGATAAGACCTTTTACTTTCTTGCTTTCTTTTTTTCCCCTTTAGACAGATGATCTAAAATTCCTGATTCTCCTCCCCGCTCCCAAGTGTATTACAGGCTTGTACAACGAACTCCCCTCCAAGAACTGTTAAAATTGCCATCAGAGTCAGTCTAAGAGTAAATTACAGAAACCTTAAGTACATCTTGATCTGTCTCACCCCAGGCACCTTGACCAGCGCTTAAGATAAGTGGAACCCCACACCACCTGCTTTAACCTTCTGATCCTCGTTTAACTTGCTAAGCAGCACACACTAAGAACACTGGAACTTAAAAAGAGGAAAAGAAAACCGAGTTCTCTAGGTTCTAGACCTCAACGTCAAATCCAGAAAAAGAAGAGGAGCTGAGGAGGGAGTGACAAGCCTAGAGACTTTTCCTCCTAGACTCCACCTGAAGTTAAAACAAACTGAAATGAAACACCTCCCGACACACAGGTAAAACGTTCAGCGTACACATTGATGCTGCGCAGGCGCAAAAAAAAAAGAAGCAGGCCTGGTTCTCAGGCCCAACCGGCTTCCACACATCGTGGCAGCAGGGACAGCACAGGCACACAGTTCAGAGTCTTCAACGCCTCCCTCCCTAACGAGGTCCTCTAGCCTTTCAGGAAATGCCTGGAGGCCCCCTTTTTAGTCATTGGCCGTCCTTCGATCCCAGTCCAGGATAGGGCGGAGCATAGAAAGCCGGAGCCGGCGCGAGCCAGGCGCGAGGACCGAAGAGCTGCTTTGCCTGTCAGGTTCTCACCTCTTTATCTGCCGCCTTCTCCTCAATGCCCAGCAGCGCGTACAGATCCATTTGTAAGAGCTCTTTAGTCACCGCCATGGTTCTAGCCTAAACTTGAATTAATACTACAACTCCCAGGAGTCTGAGCGTGCGCGTGGGGGCGGGCCTACTAAGTCCGAGCCGGCCCAACAGCGCGCTAAGCCTCCTGGGATAGCTCCTCCCGATTCAGGTCTGAGTGGTTGTGGAAGAGCGCTCAGTGAAGAATGAACTACGACTCCCAGCATGCCCGACTCCGCTGCCGCCGGCGCCTCGGTGAGCCCAGAGTCAGAATTCCCGGGCTGGGCCGCCCCTGGACAGCGCAGATGGGCGTTTGGGGCTGGGCTGCATAACCTGAGAGGCCTGCACTGGGCTGGTGAGAAGCTAACCTACCGCCAAGAACTGCTATGGAGAGCAGGTGCTACGGCTGTGCTGTCAAGTTCACCCTCTTCAAGAAGGAGGCGAGTGTACTCCCAGAGAGCTGAAGGGCCAAGGGAGGACGCGGGGTGAAGGGAAGGGACTTACAGGCTAAAGACTGTTTGACAGCTTTTTTTCCAGATGTGTGGTTTTGATGAAATAACCCAGTTAACATTTCTGTAAAGTGGGGTGGATGCCCACCGGTTTTCGAGGTTAAGATGATGGTCTGATGAGGTCCAGTGAGATGGCTCTGTGAGTAAAAGCACTTGCTGCTAACTCCTGATGACCTTAGTTCGAGCCCCAGGACCCACATGGTGGAAGCAGAGAACTCCTGAAACTTATTCTCTGATCGCCACACACATGCCATCATATGCACATGTATGCACGCGTACACTCACAAAGAAATAGTGTAAAGTGGCTTCGGTGAGGTGCTAGAGCTGAAAGCACCCTAGAAATTGTAAAGTTTCCCAAAGCTACTTTTTTTTTTTTTTAAATCTCCAAATGGAATATCTGCTGCCTACATTCTACGCACTCCCCTTCTCTCTGGAACGTTACATATCAATTTTGGAGTCAGGGCTCAAATTTCAGCTGCCCTGTCTTATTCAAAGAATGATCTAATTGAACAGTCCTGTAAGTTCTCTGGCCCCTATTAAAATCGAGATAATACTGGTGAGCATGTAAACTATGATTGTCACATCAGATGATCAATTTTAAGATGCAAGCTTAGTGCCTGGCACACACCAAGTACTTAATAATTGAAGCTATTGTTACAACCCTATCCTGAGGCAGACCTCCCACCATCTCTGCCAGAGCAGAGAAAGCACGGGATCTGCACTCAGCTCTGATTCTTTTTGTTGACGAGCCAGTGACCTGACACACAGGGCCTTGTTTGTCTTTGCACTATACCCCCATGGTAAGAAATTTAAAATGGTAGAAAGCATGTGAATTTTGCCTGAAGTTTTATCTGGTTTAAACAAGACTCCATTGCTGAACCCATCTCAGCCAGGACTCTAGAGATCCCACTCTTTCTCCTTCCTCCAAAATCCAGTCACAACTTCAATTCCATCTTTCTGTGAGTGCTTAGAGGGTCTCAGAGAAGAACCAAGGGGCTGGGTGAGACATACATCCTCCTGCTTCATGTTTCTTATAGTATGGCTGTAAGAATTGTGGCCGAGCCTTCTGTAATGGCTGTCTTAGCTTCAGTGCTCTGGTACCTCGGGCTGGCAACACACAACAGAAAGTCTGCAAGCAGTGCCACACAGTCCTGACCAGGTGAGAGATGGGCACAGGGCAAGCGTTCAGACATGACAATAAGCATCTGGTCAGGCCTTGTGGCCTTGTGCTCCCTGGTCAGAGGTCTGCCTGGGAAGTCTTTGGGGTAGAAATTGCCATTGGGTAGGAGGGCAGGACTTCTGATACCAATGTCCTCTGGTGTCCTCTCTTTAGAGGGTCTTCTGACACTGCCTCCAAGTGGTCACCACCTCAGAACTATAAGAAGTAAGTACTGAGAAGAAGACAAGCGGGGCTGGGAAAAGATAAGAACACCACTTCCATGTCTCTCCTTCCAGTCTCCAGAACAAATGGGTGCAGGACAGGGAGAATGCCCACCTCCAGGCTCCTGGCTTCCCTGTTGGATCCTGAAAGCCATTCATTACCCAGTTATCAGAAAAGGCATTTGGGAGCTCTTTCCCTCTCAGGCATATCCTCCTGCTGGTCATCTGGGTTGGGCTGTGGTACCACATGAATAGAGGCCACAGAAGATGGCCTGTAGAGGCCCAGATTGATTTGAATGGGAACCTTCAGTCTTCTCTTTAACCTTAAGAGTCTCTACCTCACATTCACCCAGGCGTGTGGCAGCCTTGGAAGCCAAGAAAAAGCCCAGCCCTTCCCAGAGCCACGGCCTGACCCACAAAGACCAAGCCATCGCTGAGCGCCTAGCACGGCTTCGTCAGGAAAACAAGCCCAGTGAGTGGGAGTGGGCCAGGGGACCTTTAAAAGGCACAGAGCAGGGCTGAGGACCAAGCTTCCTGTGGCCCTTACAAATCCTCTCCTTACCAACTGCAGAGTCAGTGCCCTCACAAGCAGAGATAGAGGCACGGCTAGCCGCACTGAAGGATGAAGTCCAGGGCCCCATTCCTTCCACACAGGAGATGGAGGATCGGCTTGCAGCATTGCAGGGCAGAGTCCCACCTTCTCACACCGTGAGACAGGTGAGTGTGATGGCTTAGGAGAAAAGGATTTCCTAGGGCAAGCACCCTTCACAAGCCCCGATACATGTATGATCCTGTGCTTTGCAGGGATCGGTAAAGCCTCCCACCCCTGCCTCCTGAGCCTTAAGCCTGCTCCTAAGCCAAAGAACAAGGGCCAAGCAGCAGGACTGAGGGCATCAGCCAAGAGTGGAGACTCAGTCCTTTGGGGAGCTGCCAGACCGACTCACCTATGTGGACTTGAATTCATCCCTTCCCCTGGGCTTTGAAAACTCTTCAGCATCCACTCCTGACTCAGACTTCTTCTGACTCTTGGTGTGGCCTTCCCCACACCCCTTTCCCCACTGAGCTTCCATCCTCTGCACAGGCACACCAGGCACCAGACACCAGGACCCAGGCCCAGCAGACACAGGATCTGCTAACACAGTTGACAGCAGAGGTGGCTATTGATGAAAGCTGGCAACCAAGAGCCTCAGGTAATGTGTCCCCTTGACTATTCCCAAGTCATGTCCTGCCTCTTCTGCCCACTATTTTGGGAGGTGAATATAAGTCAGAGAATGGGCAACACTAAAGAGCTTCTGTTTACTGAGTGCTTGCTCCAAAGAGAGCCAGTGTGGACCTCTTACACTAGCTCTAGAATCAGATGGTGAATTCCATTTCCACCACCTATACGAGTTACTTCACCTATCTCAGTCTTTCTCATCTGTAAACTCAAGCTGTGTGAGAAAACCTTATGTCTTGGGAGAAGTCATGAGGAATAAATGAAACTATACAGTAAGTAAGTGCTTGGGACTGTGCCTGGCTCATAAGTACTTAGTGAGTACTCTCTGCAGTGACCAACTACACTGACAATGAGGAAGAGGCTTCAGTGAAGAGTTAAGGTTCAGTTGCCTCCTCACACCAGCCACGTTTCAACTGTTCATTGATTGCATCATGCACAGTAGTGATGTAGGACAGGCTATGCAGTGTTCTGACATCATAGAATATTCGTGGACAGTGGCACATGAAGGCTACAGAGCAGTAGCTCCAGTTGTGGATGGTTTTGAACCTCAGGCACCTTTGGATTTGGTTAAAGACGTTTTCATTATCACAGTTCACAGCTACTCCTAGCTTCTGGTAGGTGGGAGATGGCGATGCTGCTGGGCACCCTGTCATGCAGTTGCCAGCTCCCCACCCTGAAAACACATATGCCCTTAAATCAGTAGAACTAAGATTGAAAAGCTCCTGTAGAGAGTCTCTGTGGATAACCTCACTCATCTGATGTATAGATTACTATCGAATATCGGCCAGCCATTATCTAATTTAGCTGTTTCTGTTATGACTTCTCCCTGTTGTTCCCAGAAAATGCTAATTCCAGCCCTGAAAGACAAAGTCTAGCTAAACCTTAGCCCCTCACATTCTGGTCCTCAAGCCATAGAATAGCCACCCACTCAGTATGTGAGGTGTTTGCTACATTGAGGTGCTTCTCTCTTCTCTACCCTTTAAACTCCCAACACTAGATGATAGAGAAAAAGGGATAGAGACAAAAGGAAAGAGATCTCTGAATAAAGTCAGGGGTTGAAAAAGAGCGACATTATAGGTAGACACCTTCCTGCTGGTTTGGGGTGTCGAGTTCCTTGGGGACAAGATTGCTCTTAGCCTTCAGGATATCTAGTTTCGTCTTCTTGTTTCTTCTCTGCACATCACTACATAGAAAACGGAAACCCACAACAACCAAAAAACCGCCAGCAAGCACTCAGGGCTCTAGCATTTATATATGCTAAAAAGTCCCCAGAATTCCAAATGTCACACAATCACAGAAGCATTCTGCAGCTGGCAAAATCATACCCCTGCTAGAGCACAAGGCAGATCAGTCAGCCGCTGTGGAAAATCTGAAGCAGCCCCATGTTCCACAACTGGGATTAAAACAAAAACATATTCTTATAATATTTCTTGTTTTTCAAAGAAACCAAAATTGCCATTCCCAAAGTTGATGCCTTTGAAAGACACATCTAAAATTACTTGTCTTCCCAGGCATGACGGTTCACTCTGCAGTCATAGACTTGTGAGGTAAAGGCAGGAAGATCATGAGTTCCAGGCCATCAAGTGGAGGGATAGGGGCACCAACCTAGCCACAAAACCTTTGACCTATAGTTTGTCATCCCTGCAAAATCATCATCAGAGTGTTTAGAGAGACTTCATCCAGCAACTGATGGGAACAGATGCAGACTCCTTTAGACAAACATGAGGGGGAGCTCAGAGAGTCCTGCAAAGGGAGCAGAGGAAGGATCTAAGGAACTAGTGAAGTCTAGGACAACCCAAGAGAACAAGACCCACAGAAAGGACTGATTGGGACTCATGTGGGATCGAAGAATCAGGGGTCCTGTAGAGGCCTGACCCAGGTCCTCTGCGTACATGCTATGGCTGAGTAGCTTAGTGTTCTTGTGGAATTCCAACACTGGGATCAGGGGCTGTCCCTGACTCTTTTGCCTGCTTGTGGGACCCTTTTCCTCCTACTGGGTTGCCTCCTCCCTTGATGTGGATGGCTGATGTCCCTGCCATGCTGTAGATGGCTGATGTCCCTAGGAAGCCTTCTCTCTTCTGAGGGGAGGTTGAAGGGAAACTGACATGGGGCTGAAAGAAAGGGAAGTTGAGGCAGAGAGACTTGGTGGGAGGGGAAGAGGAGAAAACTGAAGTCTGGATGTAATATATGAGAGAAAAATTAAAGAAAAGAAGGAAGGAAGGAGCTGGGCGGTAGTGGCACACGCCTTTAATCCCAGCACTTGGGAGGCAGAGGCAGGTGGATTTCTGAGTTCGAGAGTCCAAGGCTAGCCTGGTCTACAGAGTGAGTTCCAGGACAGCCAGGGCTACACAGAGAAACCCTGTCTCAAAAAAACAAAAAACAAAACAAAAAAAAAAAAAAAAAAAAAGGAAGGAAGGAAGGAAGGGTTGGTTCCAGGCCAGCCTAGACTCTACAGCAAACCCCTGTCTTTAAATGAGTAGACATGAACAGGGCCCACGCCTTTAATCCCAGCACTTGGAACCAGCACTTGGGAGGCAGAGGTGGGCAGATCTCAGTTCAAGGCCAACCTGGTTTGCAGAGTGAGTAACAAGAAGGCCACGACTACACAGAGAAACCTTGCCTGAAAAAACCAAAGATAAATAAACGAATGAATAAAAGCATATTACTGAGCAATGAAAATGTATGGTTAAACCTAGTTGAGAAATGAGTTCAGAGGCTTCTGGGATGAGATCCTGGAATTCTTCTGCCTTCCTAACTGCATTACCCCTTCCAGCAGCCTCCCTCCAGAATGACCTCAACAAGGGAGCTACAGGAAAGCAGCACATAAATTCCCAGGGGCAGGCCAGCTGGTCTCTGGAGGAAGAGAAGAAGAAGCTGCTAGCTGAAGCAGCCGTTGAGCTACAGGAGGAGAACACCAGGCAGGAACGGTTCCTGGCTCTTGCCAGAAGACTGGCTGTACTGCAGGGACAAGACCCCAGCAGAGGTAAAGGCTCTAGCCAGCATCCGTATTCATGCCCCCCGGCCAAGACCTACTGCCACCACAGACTATACTTTCCCTGACAGTGCTAAAGTAGATAAAAGAGTCCCTGTGCCAAAGGGTATGCCATGTGCTCGGCAGAGCAGAGAATGAGGACTCTGAGGCAGCCTTACTGGGGCAGTGGAACTTTCAGTCCCCTCTGGTGGTAATGCTTCTCATTCTGACCTCTGCTCTCAGGGCTGAGGGTCCAGCCTTGCAGGGCTCGGGTAGGGAGGCAAGCAGCTTGGTTCTCAGCTCTGAACTAAGTGCCCCAGGAACCAAGAGTTCTAGGAGGCAAGAGGAAAGCCATTTGGTGAAATCTCTCACTTCACTTCTTCCTGTGTTCCTGCCGCTCCTTCAAGTGACCCTCCAGGACTATCACCTCCCAGACAGTGATGAGGATGTGGATGAAGAGACAGCCATCCAGAGAGTCCTCCAGCAGGTAGTTCTCTTACCCACCCAGTCACCCTGCTCTGCCTCATTGCTCAGGGTTGGACCAGCTGTCTGCTCTCATGCACTGGGCTCTGCTTCAGGGCCACATGAACAATCAATCATTCCTCAGTGCTCCTTCTAGCTGGGGTCCTGTTCTTCCTGGAGTCCTGAGATAGGAAATATGCAGTCATAGGCAGGAGGTAAAGGGTGAAGTGTGAGACTTCTGTACTTTTGGTTTCTTTTTAAAAAAAACATGAATATTGTAAGAATGTATTTTCTTTTAATCCCACATTTGGGATGTGGGGCTGCTTTGGACTGTCCTCACCAGCTGACTATGATTTGCCTTGTGCTCTAGTAGAAGCATGGTTTTTCCAGCTGCAGAAAGTTTCTGCAATTTTGTGATTTGTAGTATCCATGATCAAAGAAGAAACAAAAGGCAATAAATTAGATCCAGGTCTATCTGTCTGTCTGTCCGTCCGTCCGTCCGTCCATCCATCCATCCATCCATCCATCTATCTATCTATCTATTATCTATCTCCCTTTTTCCCTCTCCCTGCCCCCTCTCCCCCTGATATCCTTTCTCTCTTATCTAGTATTAGGGAAAGAAATGGAGAGAGGAGAACCCCCAGGTGGTAACAGATAACAGATCAGCTGAAATGGAGCGCTGAGAAGCTAAGGCCACAAAACAGACAAATGATGGGAGGAGAGCCTGGGCTTAGAGCAGAAAGTAGTTCTTTTCTTCCCTGTTCGCAGCTCACTGAAGAAGCTGCCCTAGATGAGGCGAGTGGCTTTAACATCCCTGTGGAACCTGCTCCAGGATCCCGGGCCCAGCCCTGCAAGGCCAAGACTGAGGTGGGCAAGGCCTCACACGGGCTTCCATCCCCACACTTCCCACAGGCAGCCTGCTACCTGCCTTACTGCTCCATCTCTATGTTCCCATTTCTCTGTTTTCCTAAGCCCCAGTCTCTGCTTCAGGGGCCCCGGGCTGAGGAAGAGGAACTCCCCTGGTGCTGTATCTGCAATGAGGATGCTACTCTGCGCTGTGCTGGCTGTGATGGAGACCTCTACTGTGCCCGGTGCTTCCGGTGGGTGTGGGAGAATGATCTGAGAGGAGAATGTTCTTGACTCCAGGGCTGCCAAGATGTCTACCATTCACCCCTTTGTTCTGCAGGGAGGGCCATGATAACTTTGATCTTAAAGAACATCAGACTTCTCCCTACCACGCCCGACCACCTTGCCAAGAACACTGAGGATAACCTAATGATCTCCTGAGGTTGCAGTGCCACAGGGAACCAGCAGGCTGGGAAGACACCTGGGCCCAGTCCCAGGGCATCCAGAGGGATAGCAGATCCTGCTTTGAGAGTTAACGTATTCCTTTGTGAGCTTCACAGTCCCAGGAAGGAAGGAAGGGAGGGAGGAAGGAAGGAAGGAAGGAAGGAAGGAAGGAAGGAAGGAAGGAAGGAAGGAAGGAAAGAAGGGTCCATTGAAGATGACTCTTAGAAGGAACAGGTGAAAGGAGGAGTCCAGTCCCTCCTCTAAGAGGCTGACCTCAAATGGAGGCAGATGGGGAAGACCAGACTGAAGCTGAGGATGAGGATACCTGAAACCTGGTGGCCTTGCCCAGCCCTGGCCTATACTGGATCTAATAAAATGTGTTGAGTCATTGGCCTCAGATGTTTTTTCTGTCCTGGGGATTGAACCCAGGGCCTTGCACATGCTACAGAAGGGTGCTGCATCCCTCACTCCAGAACCTTTCAATTGTGTGTTTGTTACTGACACTACTGGGGATTGAATTTACATCCTCGTACATGCTAAATGTGTGCTCTACCACTGACCTATACCTCCAGGTGGCCAACACCTTCTATATCTAGAACCTCATGGCCCCTGAGCCTGGGGCATAGAAAGGTGCTATGAACACAGAAGGTTAGAAGCAGAGTCCTGTGGAATTCATGAAAAGCTGGAGCTGTGTTGTAAGCTCCCAGCAAAGACAGTCCCACCTCCTGGTGGCCTCATTCAAGTAAGCATGAATATTCACCTAGGCAATTGTGTCTTGTACTCAGCACAGCTCCCCTTAACCAGAAGACCCTTCCATGTTGGATTTCTATCTGTCTAGTACTTAGTAATGAATGTAGGATCAATCCATGCATACGTACCCTGCTTCCTCCACTCACAGAAGCCCTGGCTCCTGTCAACTTGTTGTGTACCTCAAAGACCCAACAATGTCTTCAGGCACTTGGCTCAGTCTCTGGTAATGCCTTTCCTCCACTGCATATTCTCTGCTTCTTTCCTTCCTGCCCTGCACAGAAGGTAATCCGAGAAGAAAGTACAATCCAAAGAGGCCTGCTACACTGTGGAGGAGGGATCAGCCTCCCTGGATGCTCCTGTGAGATCCAGTAAGGTGTTTCCTGTTGCCTGCTCAGTGGAATTCTAAACTTGTCTCTGCCAGTTAGGCCCTTCTTGTTGGTAACACCAGGCTGCAGTGTCCTTTACCCCCATGGCCTCCAGGCCTCACTGTTCCAATCTCTTCAAAACTAAGCTGTAGTCTCTGTCTTTGCATTCCCAACACCTGTTGCCATGGGCATGGGGGATGATGGTGGGTAGATGGATGGATGCATAATGTGGGTAGAGCCAAGTGACTCAGGATGTTGATCTTCCAAGATAGCACTTCCCCTCTCCCATCCCCACCATAGATACACATCACACTCCCTTATTCAGGGCTTCTAAAGGTTTTATCTTGGCTGCCAAGGAAAACATTAGACACAACTACAACTGACTCCCAGCTCTCAGCTGGGCTGCACACACGAGGCCTATACAAGTGTCTCTCTTTGTCTTCTGCAGCCTTTGTCTGTATCAAAGACCTTTCAGCCAGTATCCAGGTCAGGGCTGTGGATCTTGGCCAGTATCCTGTGGATCCTGGCAGTGCTGAGGCTTCAGAAGATGGTCCCTCCAGGATTATTTCGAAGGCCTGCTGAGTCTCCGAAGTCTCTTGAGTTGACTGAGTAGCTCAGAGATAAAAGGCTGAGGGAGAGAGAACACTGAGATCAATGCAGGAAATCAGTCACTATGCTGCCCTTCTTAATCTGTCTTCCAACTGTCCTCAGAGCAAGAAGCAGAAAGAATGAGCAAGGGCCAAGCATTTCTCTCTCAGGAGCCTCACATCCTCCCACTAAGGCTTCCTCCTAATGCAGTAGCAGAATGTGCCTTACCTCTCTGTTGCCTGGGCAGTCTTGGAGAATGGCCTGAGGAAAAGAGAGCAAGCTGAACTGAGCCATGCTGCTTCCCCACAAGCCCCACCAGTCTCCCAAGAACCCTCTCCTGGAAATTGGTTCTTTGCAGCTGCTTGCTATCTCTGTTGGTTAGAGAGATAGCTGCTAATACATGGTACTTCTCATACCACCCAAGGAAGCAGGCCTTAGACTCCAAGGCCAGCTTCCCACCCACAGCCTCCCATCCTACCTCCAGCTGAGTCCTTTGCTCTTCTGTGGACAATTCCATGAGAGACTCCAGATCAATCTCAGGCTCAGAAGGATCTTCTTGACCCTAGTTGAGAGTAACAGAGGTGTCTGAGTACCTGGTGCTAGAAGGGCAGTTGCTGCCAGGACTCACCCATCTCTGCCTTCATCTGCTGATCTTCATATTGATCCCCCTCCTCAGCTAACTCACAAGGACCATCGATTTTCCTATTGATAAATATTTACTAGGTACCTACTTTTTTTTCTTTTCTTTTCTTTTTTTTTTTTTTTTTTTTTTGGTTTTTCGAGACAGGGTTTCTCTGTGTAGCCCAGGCTGTCCTGGAACTCACTCTGTAAATCAGGCTGGCCTCGAACTCAGAAATCCGCCTGCCTCTGTCCAAGTGCTGGGATTAAAGGCGTGCGCCACCACCACCTGGCTACTAGGTACCTACTATATTCTATGCAAAAGTGTTAAGAGTTATAACAAAAGAGGTCTTCAGGTGTGCCTGTACTCTAGGTGCTGAGGCTAAGGACAGATGATCGTGAGCTTCAGACCAACCTAGACTCCATAGCGGGGGTGGTGGGGTGGTGGGAGGGGGAGTGGGAATGCCTCGTGGAGAGGCCTCAGCAAATCAGAGCTCTGGCTGCTCTCCCAGAGAACCTGACTTAGATTTCCAGCACCTCATGGAGGCTCACAACTGTTTCCAACTCCAGTTTTAGTGCTCCTTGTACCTTTTTCTGGACTCCCTGAGTACTTGCATTTGCAGAACAGATGATGCATGCAGTTGAAACACCTATACACACAAAATAATAAGATTTTTCATAGTGTGGTTGTAGACAACTGTAATCCCACAGCTCAGGAAGCAGAGGCAGGAGGACGTCTGTGAATTCAAGGTTGGCTGGCCTGGTCTGTAGAAAAACCAGTTTCAACAACACAAAGTCTTGTCAGATGAGTCAATGCATATAAACCGTGCAGTAAGCTGATCTACAGAGCCACAGTGAAAACTCACTGTAGGGAATATGAAGTGACTGCTAAGGCACTGAGGCCGGGGGATAAAGTACTCTAAAGTTAGGGTATAGAAACCTTCCCTTAAGCCCATGAGATACAGAACACCATGCATTGTACACTAAAAAGTGTGTGAATTAGCTGGGTGTAGTAGCACATGACTTTAATTCCAGCATATAGAAGGCAGAGGTAGGAAGATCTCTGTATTTTTGAGATCAGCCAGATCTATATAACAAGTACTGGGTTATCTAGGTACTGAGACCCCCTGTCTCAAAAACAAAACAGGTAAATTGTGCAACATATGAATCATATTAAAAATCATAGGAAAGCTATTTCTAGAAGTTACAGTCATGAGCTACTGAGTAAAAGTTGTTGACATGCCGGGCAGTGGTGGCGCACGCCTATAATCTCAGCACTTGGGAGGCAGAGGCAGGCAGATTTCTGAGTTCAAGAGTTCAAGGCTAGCCTGGTCTACAGAGTGAGTTCCAGGACAGCCAGGGCTACACAAAGAAACCCTGTCTCGAAAAACCAAACCAAAAAAAAAGTTGTTGACATGAAGCGTAACAAGAAAAGTCTAGCCGGGCACGCCTTTAATCCTAGCACTTGGGAGGCAGAGGCAGGCAGATTTCTGAGTTCGAGGCCAGCCTGGTCTACAAC